GATGTATGGGTGGTGGCAGGTGGTGGGTGGCTCTGGGACTGTCATGTCGGCTGTCTCGGGAGTGAGTAGCAGTAGCGGCGGCAGTTCCGGTCAACCCACACCAATTGCACTTGTACCCAACGTAATCGACTCTCTGTCTAGGTTGTCCTCGTCACAGGTAAATAAATATTGGAAAGTAACCAGGGAGAATAACTGATTTCGTGAGTTCGCATGAATGTGTTTTGCAGGTGCAAAAGAAAGGCTTTTAACATTCTCCAAGTTTGATTATGAACGATCGGATAAACTTGTAGTCGCTTGAAAACTTTAACACTGCGCATAGAAAATTCCTTCCATTTTATAAACCGGTCTAATAATTAATATTACACGTACACGTAATACTTAAGGATACACACACACACACACACACACATATATTTCTCATTAATATAATAGATTGAAGTAAATATAATAATTTATTTTACCCTTTTTCGTTCATATATAAATAGTAATGTGTGGGATATGGTTATATCTGTACTATATAGTGCAAACGCTAAATATTTATCAATTAATATATATGTAATTTTACTAATGGAAAAAACGTTTATCTTAATTCTTAAGTTGTAATTGCTTCATGGTTATAAATAAAGATTAATCGATGAAAAATTGGAAAACAACGTTTCATATATTCAATAAATTGTCATGTAACTTTGCAGAAATTTAGTTAGATCTAATGAAAGAATACACACACACACACACTGTCTGAAAAGAAAGCAATAACAAATGTGTACAACTTTAATGTAAAATTTTTCAGGTGGATATTAATAAAACAGATATTTGTTATTATATGATTTATGAAAGTAACATTAGTAAACTGACACCAATTCGTGTTTAAAAATAACGTAAGTACTTTATATTTTTCAGAATACAACAGCCAGTCCCAAAAATCCTACAGCGAAGCTATTAAGTCAGCCGAGTATATCTATTACTCCACTACCACGTACAACATCTCAGACCTCCATTCCAGGATCAGGAACTTCTTCGAAGTCTGGAGGAAAAAATACATTTGTTATATGTGAAATTTGTGATGGATATATTAAGGTGGGTGTACGATAAATTTACAGACTATTAAATTATTTTATTATTCTTATTTTTGATGGTCACTACTCTTGGAAATTGCGCAAATTAACAAATTAATATAATAGATGATAAGTAATGAATAATTTATATTATTAATTAATATCTAATTATTAACAAATGTTAAGATATTATATAAGTAATATTCGTAAATCTTTTCGATATATTTTGCATTGTATTCTATTGTATTTATTTTAGGATCTAGAACAATTACGAAATCACATGCAGTGGATCCACAAAGTAAAAATACATCCAAAGATGATTTATAACAGACCTCCATTAAACTGCCAGAAATGCCAATTTCGATTCTTTACAGATCAGGTATTTTTACACAGTTATTTAGTTTAAGTTAATAAATAAAAATATTTCTGAAGTTATAAAGTGCAATTATTGTATCTCTTTTATCATGAAAAATATGAACTGATATTTACATATAATATTTTATTTACGTCAGTAAAATATAATATTTATTAAAATATAAAGTTTTAAAATTTAGTCATTATTTTCATCCATTGAAAAATATTTCATCCATATTATATAATAACATATTTCTTTTTTCTAAATAGGGTTTGGAAAGACATTTATTAGGATCTCATGGGCTTGTTACATCTAGTATGCAAGAGGCAGCAAATAAAGGAAAAGATGCGGGTCGTTGTCCAGCTTGTGGCAGGGTAAGTTCATTTTTTTTCTGTTTGTAACATGAGATTTTGTTTTCAAGAATAGAGGAAGTATAAACAGAAATATAAACATGATTTATGAGAGGTGTACATGTTGATTTCTAGGTATATCAATGGAAATTATTAAATCATGTTGCTCGAGATCACGGGATGACATTAAAGCCAGCACATTTATCATATAAGTGTACAGTCTGCACTGCCACATTTGGAATGTACAAGCAATTCGAGAATCATGTATACTCGGCGCATAGTGTTGTAGCAAAAAGAGTTATGGATAAGAAGAACACGCCTGCATCTCCATCGTCTCGATCGAATGATTCGCTTCTAAAGCCATTGAAGATTAATGACGAGATAACGATTATTCCGCAACCGGCGAAACCTACAACCAGATCCGGTGCGATTCAAGGCAGAGGAAAATAGCAATGATGAGCTTGAGTGATAATTGTGTCTTGTCTGATCGAATTTCGCATAACTTTTTGTGGTACTCCATGCCGATCACTGCAAACGTACAGTGATTAACGTGCCGTTAACGTGTACATGTGTATGTATACTATGCTTTAAGACGCGAATTAATTCCAAATACCTAAAGAAGAAAAAAAGCAAGGAAAAAGAAAAAATCTTATGACTCGTGACAACAAGGAAACTAGTTGACTGCGTAATAATATTCCATCAATGATTATACCGATATATATTTATTTAAGAATTTTTATTGTTGTTATCGGACCTACATAAAATAGACTGTAAAAATATTAAAGGGTGGCCTTCAGTCTGATTCCTTGGTTAAATCCTAGAGCTGCATACTCCCGACCTATAAACTCGCCTATATGTGTAACAAGAACTCTCTCGCGCGAAATATCAAGTGTATTGTAACATTTATATGCTATGGTACATCGTAATAATGTTACGCGCAGTATGGATTACTCTCATACATAGCGAATTCTCTACAATGTAAATTCTTTTTCTAAGATAAATATATTCGAATTTATTCTATTTTGTTATTATGAAGCTAATATGACTTTAGGACAGTGAAATTGTCCGTAATCTCCGGTTTGATAGGCTGATAAACATCATGTTTGCGAAATAATTTCCGAACGATATACGATGCGATAAATTGTACTAATTGACCAGAGTGCCCACGACAGTCACGGATCTAGTACACAGGTACTAACGACAAGTGTTATACTGGATACCATCTAGTTCTTCAGACATATATTATACTTTCATTTCGCCATCATACGTTTTTTTAATTAACAGTTAGTGAAATTATTGTCATACTTTTTATTTATGATATTTCATAGAACTGTGTGTATGAAATAATTTGTGATGTAATACGAGAAATCTTTTTGCTTTTTTTTTTTTTAAATCGAAACTTGTAAATTGTATCTATATTACTATAGATTTTTGAACCCTTTAGTCACATATACTGTAATAAAAAAAAAACAAAGTACCCAGTTTTATTTTAGTGCGCTCTTATGAAAACAACAAAAATGTACATTAACATAGGATATAATATAAAGAAATATATCAATAAAATAGGATGGCACACAACTCGTGTATACATTTTTTCTGATAAACGTGAATATGAAACGGAGCATTGATCCTGTTAGCACACTCAACGCGGCGACGTCTACATTTATATATGTATATATATAATATAAACATTTATGATATTATATATATAAATATGTAAAGTTATAATATAGAGTATAGCAATAGCGTAGTACACAAGAAGAGACTTCATTTCATTTTCTTCTTGTATACACTCCGAAACGATTATAGGATTACATCAATATGTAGATAGTCGTTAAAAGAAATAACGAGTTTAATTTAGCAATTTCAATTTATCCCGATAATAATTTTTTGTACTATTATTGTAGGATATAATTTTAGAGAAAAAAAAATCGTAATCACAGAGTGAAGGATTCGAAATAGTGCATTTTTGCACTGTATGGCTGTATTATTTAATTCTGCTATCTTGCCAAACGCTTACGGCAAGCCATGTTGGTAAAACTAAGAAACAGACATAATTACAGAAATATATAGTTTATTGTAATAATTTGTACAATATTATACGATTATAAAAATAAAGTGTGTACCAACATTGAATTAAAATTCTTACAGTACACTTTAAACCTTTGTATACGTATGCTACATTTCAAAAAACTTAATGGAGATCAACGGAAGTTTGATAAACAAGAAACAATGATTGTAAAATATATCTGTTGATTACCGCGTTTTCGCTTTGTCCCATTAAACAACATAAAAGATCTACAATTGATATCTGTGTTTAAGAATGTTAGAAAAATATTAGTTTTTTACCAAATTCTCTTAAAATATGTACTGTAATTTGTTCATTAAATATTTAAACCCTTTTTAAATAAAACAACATAAATAAAAAATGAAATTTATCACTAATGTTATTTTTTAAAAGTAACAAAATAAACTAACAAAATGAAAAAGAAAATTTATAATTCTAAATAAAATTGATTATTAAATAAAATATTTTATTGACATATTTTATGACTTAATTTAAATGAATAAAACTACGGTAATACTTGTGAATAACTTGGTATATACATTAAACAAATATCTATATATTATTTTAATCGTTTTATTATTAGATGTTAAATATGTATAGTGATGTGATTTAATATAACTGTTTTAAAATTCCCAAAAAAATGTTCTTAATTTTTAATAGAATTTATATACAATTTAAAAAATTTGGAGTATAGAGATTTATATAAATTTGGAATATTTATTTCATACAATTATTACATTGCCTATCGCTAACGTACATAATAAAATTAATAATAAATTTTTGTCAATAATATTTAATAACCAGATAATTTCTAGAGTTGACAATTACCACAAAAATCATATTGGGATGAATCGATGTAAAAATAGTCGACTTTTAGTCGAAAATTCTGCGTTTCTTTTTGGATTTGTAAAAAATTGATTATAAAAGTGTTAAAGATTAAGTATACAAAAAGGAATAAAAGAGGTAAATGGTAACCCATTTCGAGAATAAATTCTTTCACTTCTTGTTACAAAACCTACTCTTTTAACTCGTTTAGTTTGGAAAAATGATTATACGTACAAAATATATATATATATATATATATATATATATATATATATACTCT